GATAGTGTGTGTGTGTGTGTGTGTGTGTGTATGTGTGTGTGTGTGTGTGTGGAGCTGACTTGTTTCAACCCGTAAAATGTTTGTCCTTTCTCGAATGTATGCGTGAGTGCACGTGAACGGCTAACTTTGTGACATCACCGCTATTATAAATAACAACGTAATATTTCTCTGTAGGGGACGTAATAAAACAACAGTTCTTATTGTCATTGTTATTGTCATTGTTATTGTCATTGTCATGTCATTTTTATTGTTATTGTTATTGTCATTGTTATTGTCATTGTTATTGTCATTGTTATTTTCATTTTCATTGTTATTGTTATTGTCGTTGTTATTGTCATTGTTATTGTCATTGTCATGTCATTGTTATTGTTATTGTCATTGTTATTGGCATTGTCATGTCATTGTCATTGTAATTGTTATTGTCATTTTGTTCTCTAAACGCGTATGTCAGTCGAAAGGAATTCTCAGGGGCCCTATTTACTAACCATTGGTTCCATAGGAAGGGTTGCATCAATTGCATCTTAGAGTTTAGAGTTAAGGTAAGAGAGATGTACAGTTTAGTGTAAACACCCTCTGGTTCAGGCTTAGATCAGTGCTCGTGGACCTCGGCGATGACGCCCACAAATGAGTGGCTTGGTTATTTTGGTGGTCGGTGTGGCCCCCTTGGGTAGAGACAGGCGGTATTTCACCATTAAAAGGTGTTCTTTTTCATAATGGGAAATTAATCCTGTCTTTGGGTGACTCGGGCTGAACTCGAATTATAGTATATAAATAGACATATGTGAGGCGGCGTGGTGGAATCAGGCTCTCGTCAAAATAATCAAAGTGAAGAAACTTGCATTTTGCCTCAGGTTTGTGAAATTTTATCAAATTTTTGTTTTTTGCCTCAACACCTTTCAGGCCCATTAAAGAACTCATTTCTGTGTGGATTTTTCTGAAAACCATTGATTAAAGGCACGAAAAGTGTAATTTTCAGTTACCACTGACTCTTAAGGTAAGGAAATAACTAATCTTTGGCGGCCATTTTCTCACAAATTTGACCTCTTTAAACGGGTGACCCCCTCCTCCTTCATTTGCAAATATCTCGACTTGTATTCAAGATAAATTGATATTTTTTTCAACCAAATAAAGACAAGTGAACAAGCTGTAAGATGATACCAATAACTCTACATGCCGGAAATTTGAGGAGAGCCTGATTCCACCACGCTGCCTCACATATATCATTACCAATAAATTATTTCAGAATCTCACACCGTATCTGACAACACACTAATCCTACACCACTGTACGGGACTCTATTTACG